GTCACTATCAACAATAACAACAGCAACAACAAGGACTCATTAGGTCAACTAGTTCCAAAGCATTCCTCTTCATAGCCCCTTCTGCCATGTTTCCTGCCCCTTTCTCCTCCAGTGCACTCAGAGGCTGATTAATTGTAAATAACATTAAAAAATATGTATGTGTGGGAATCTTCTCTCCAAATAATATTTATCCATGCTTCATTTTGCATAACCAAAATACTTAGAAATAGACATTGAGAAAATTGGCTGCTTGAACAGAAGAACTGCCATTACTATGTGGATAAGACTAATATAGTTTTTAAGACATATAACAGTATTCCATGCTGGTAGATCACAGTAATTTGGTAGACAATATCTCCTTATATCCTCACAGGATTTCTGGTGGTATAGTATGTTATGTGTTTTGCTGCCAGTTGAAAGGTCAGTGTTTTGAATCCACCTATTGACTCCATGGGAGTCCTCTCATAAAGCTTTATAACTTTGGGAACCCAGTGAGGGATTGTAATGAGTCAGAACAGAATGAGTGGTTGTTGTTGTTGTTGTTGTTGTTGTTGTTAGGTGCTGTCAAGTCCACTACAACTCCAGTAATTTAATGAATAAAAAGCTCTGAACCTTGCCTTAGCCTCATGCTGTCTGTCATGTTCAAGCCTATTATCATCCCTGAGTCAATTCATCTTGTGGAGAGTCTTCCTCTCCTTCACTGACCCTCTACCTTCCCCTGCATTATTGTTGTTATAACCTCACAATGAGCCTACTGTTACCTCCATTTTACAGATAAGGAAGCTGAGGAACAGAATAGGTCTTGAAAGGAAGAAAGAGAAGGAAAAAGTATGGTGAAGTAAAGGAGGTAAGAAGATGGTGGTAAAATTTTGTGAGGAGACTAGGAGAGATGGAAATTCATCACTTTGCTGTCTTTTTTAAAAAAAATTTAGGTTGTTTATTTTTCATTTCAATGAACATCTACAGAGATTTTGGAATTCCATTCATTCATTGTTGCACCCTTCTC